AATAATGCTTGCTTTTAAATGTCCTTGATGACTGGTTTGACACATGCAGTGAGACACCACATGATCTGTTCTTTATTGTGACTATTTCTGTGTCTTACAAAACTGCTTATTAACAATGATGTCAAAACAAGAAAATAAACAGGGAATGAAGTTTCATCTGCAGTATTCACTGCAAAGGGTTGTTACAACAGTCTCAATAAAAGAAGAGCAGAAGCTTTGCTTTGCCATCTGCAAGGCAAATTACCCTTTCCTCCTTTATTAAGCAACATTTCCTAGTAGAGATCTGCAACTTTTCAGACGCTAGTAATATAAAATTTATATTAAAATGTTCAGGAAAACAGTAAAAAAAATTATTGCTATGTCACCAATCCCTGCTTGTTCAAAAATACTGAAATTATATGTCAGTTCTGGTACATAAGGGGTGTAATGACAAGATGATCACTCTATAGAAACAAAGATACCTATTTAAACAAATACACATATTAAATGAAAAAAGCTGGACAGAAAATAAGCTGTTAATTAAGAACAACACTTGAAAAAAATCAATATACATATGTAAAAAGTTTTGGACTATACACTGATATTCAAAATCACTAAAAGGTTTCATGATTTAAACGCAGAATGGAGATACTGATGACGTGTGAAACATAAAACCTAGAGATCAGTTGCTTATATTCTGTCCTAAAGAAATACACTTGCTCAAGGTGAGTAATAGGGATGGCAGCAGGGGTGACATTTCAACTGCTGCCAACTACTAAGTTGTAACACATCAGTGATTGTGTGTTCTTCCCTTTCAATCATGGTACCTGCAAACTCTTTTGCGCTTGACAGAAATAAAAGTAATTTGGATTGTTAGGACTAGTAATCCAGATAATTTGTGTTCACACTAGATTTCAGAGGAAAATTATAGCCTATATAAGAAGTTGAAGATATCCTTCTGCTCAAAACCACACCTCAAAATCAGCATGGTCTGGTTACTTCCTTAAATCCTACTGCCACAAAGGGAATTGGAGTCCTATCCACACATTATCCAAGCTCTGGTAGCTGAAGTCATTCACCGATCAAAGTAGAACCTCACTGGTTTTGACTACTGAACTACAAGGACTTTTATAGAATTGGAGAAGATTTTAACATTGTTTAATCTTATTTTTCTGTTTCAGTGAAAGAAAAAAATTGTTCATTTGTTTTGAGGAAACAATATAAAGGTTTTCTCATATATTTTTGCTGTCAAAGGAAAGTTCACAAATCTTATGGGGTGTTGATTAATTTTTCTGCCTATTTCTCATTTTACAGTATTTATTAAGTAATGCCTGCTGTCTAAAGAAGACTGATCTGTTCTAGAGTATTTTCAAGACTTAAGAAATCTATGAATATTTATCACTCAAACTTGTCATACCAGCAATATTAAAACTTGGACAATAAAGTGGAAAAAACTGTTGCTTGTTCCTGCAGTACAACAGTTCTTATTCTCCATACCACAGGTCATTTAATATCAATTAATGAATCCATCAATATTGATACCTATACTGTCCTCTTTTAGCCTGGAACTAGATAATAAGGAGTGCATAACACCCAGAAATACCTTCTTGTGCAAAAATTTGGGATGATTTTGCATTATGAGTGAATGTGCAAAATTTGCATGTGCATATATATATATACACACACACACACTGTGCACACATGCACAATAAGATATGTATACTTCCATAAAAAGGATTTTAACATAATCCTTCACAGTGATCAAGGTAGCAAGGCAGTTGCAATGGCTTGCCCCTCTGCATGACTGCCTTTCTTGAGTCAAACCACAAAGGGCAGAGATTTGAGACCAGTCACTCGTTTTGTTTTTCACATCTATACTAACCTAAAGCAAAGGGTTAATGAGGCTTTCAGAAATCATGCCACCTGCATACTTACACATAATAAATACAAGAAGTTGCTATCTTATAGAAACTGCTTTTGTGAAGGCTTTTAACCTCTTAATTAAACTCTTGAAAAGACTCCTGCTATTTCAAAGGTTTCAAGAAAGAATTCCTATTGTAAATCAGAAACCAATGCAAAACAACCTTGTGAAAAGAAAATTCCTAGACTATATGAAACAAGAAATTGAATCTGTGCACACCTTTATCTGACAGGCACAACCCCTTTTAAGCAAACAAAAGAATAATAGTTTTCTTTTCCTCAAAGAGGTCTCTTTTGCCAGTGATCATTTTTCAGGTGATAGTAGTTTTTCTGTACAAACCCGTATCACTCCATCTTGGGTCTGCTAGACAGCTGTTTAAATGCTTCTACTGACCATTCCTATTCTCCCTTTGTTTTAATTAAGTCACAAATTAACAGTCCTTTACATAGACTGCACAAACTCTGGTTTACTTCTTCAACTTCTTCACCCAAAGAAAAAAATATTTACAACAAAGCCTGAGTGAAACTGTCATTTCGTTTAGAAACTGTACCAAAAACTCTTTCAGAGCAACAAAGCAACTCTTGTTGGCTTGGCTTATCTTGTTTTGGTCCAGAATGTGTATAGAGTGATGTGATCTCAGCAAGATTTTTTTTGTTTGTTTAGCAGAAAGAAAACCTAGTATAGTCACTAGACCAGCATTTTCTCATGACTTTTCCAAAGATCAAAGGAAAGAACTGTAACCTCAAAAGTATACGGCTGAGATATTTGTGTCTGTGTCTGGTCAATAAAGAAAAAAGGCACTTGACCAAATAACAATTATAAGATAATTAATTCTTAGGGCTGTTTCACCTTTAGAAACCTTAACAAATGTTTATGTATTATGGAGGTAAATTTTGTTCAAGACGGACATAAGAACCTGGGAGCTAATAGAGTATAATGTGTGTCTGTGCAGTGGTAAGTCATACACAGGTGACCTAATTTTGCTGAAAATCCAAAAATCCATTAATTTCATTCATTCTGTTCTCCAGAACTTGGCTGAACTGAACGTATGCAAAATACGTTAGCCTTCTCGTGGAACTTCTTTATACGCACAAAAAAGAAGAGTATGTTCATTGCAATACAATTCCCAATCAACACATCTTAAATCTAACTAGACTGGTTCAGATGCACCAGCTTTGTACAGATGCTCACTCTATCCTTGTCGTGGTTAGACTTTTACTAGTGATGTTGGTGATCAGTGCACACTGTAGCAATATTTTCTGTAATAGCTATTTGAACTTAAAGACTGATTTCCCCATTTGGATCTTGGAACTTTTTAGGATAATAATTTTATTTGAGAATAATTCTGTGACATTATAAGGTGATCAACTAAGGCAGAGAGAAGAGGCAGCTGACATCTTCCTCTGACCAAAGAACTGCTTCTCTGTTTCCAACCATCTAGATATTTTATGCTGCATATTCAAAATCAGTAGATCCTTTAGAAAATTTAGTATTTTTTTTTATTTATCAGGTGACAATGCAAGTCTGTGGATAATTCAGAAACTAGCTCTATTTACTGCATCCTGCGTTGAGACAGCACAAGGGTCTTTGTGGTTTCAAAATGCGAATTGCAAGTGCAGCAGAAGGAACTCATGATACCCAGCTGACTGAATAAGAACATGGCAGAGGAAGTTCAGTATAGATAGGTGTCAAGAGAGGCACTTAGGGAAAAGGCAATTCAAACTTTACCGGACAAGCTCCTGAGTAGCTACTAACATGCTAGAAAGAGGTCCTGCAGTTGTAATAAGTATGAAAATAACAACTTGGCATTCAGTAAAGGTTAAAAAATTAAAAAAAACAAAGTTTTGATAGTTAGTAGGAAACAAAAAAGTGTCCATAATTGCCCTCTATAAATCCATGGTATGCAAGCACTTTAAACATGCTATGCAGGGCTTATCCCTCCTTCACTTCTCTCAGATCAAATACATGAGAACTGAAAGAAAGTTCAGTAAAGTGACAAGGATGAACAGAGGAATGGAAGAGCTTCCACATGAGAAACAATCCTAACAGCCTACGCCTGAAAAATTGACTAATGGAGATTCAACAGAGGTGTATAACTCCGGTGTACATCAACAGAGAACTGCTGTTTCCACTTTCTCCTGCTGCTGCATTTAGAGAACATCAAATGTGGTGAAGATCCAAGGAAATAACAGAAGGTACTTCACCATGCTACACTGGCTAGCTGATCAGCAGACATGCTGCCACAAAAAATCATGAGTGTTTCACTGGCTCAAAAAGCAACTGTACCAACTCATAAAAGAAAACTCAGAGGAGTTACCAAAGCCACAATAGGCTCAGTGAGTCCTTGAGTGCAAATTTCTGGCAGCTGGGACAGTTTAACAAAGCAGTACTATTATATTCTTTGCTGGACTTTCCAGTTTTCCTGTATCTGTTCTTGAAGGCTCGATGCTGGGCTAGGTCAGCTTTTAGCACAACCTGATACAACCATCCTTATATTACAGAGTAGAAGCATATCAGAAATAATTTCGTTAATACCACGAAGCAGCCAATCTTCACTCCTGGTCTAGCAGTTTTGGCAGGAGTTCTGTTAAAACTGAAGCTCATGGACTGAGTCAGCACGCACAGTCAAGAACTATAAATACGGAGACCTGCCAGAAGCACAGAATATAATTAAGCATCTTCTAGCACACTTTGTTTCATGAGCTAATAGTGTTTTCCATACTGCTTAAAAAGAAAAAAATTACACCAAATGAAAAAAAACCAAGGGAGTCATTTGGGATTCTTTCTCTTCCCTGGCAAAGAATCTTAACAAGAAACTGTGCTCTGGACAAAAAGCATTGCAGTCCAAGGAGTGTCTTTTCAGATGGTGAGCCAGTTTATAATGCTGCAAAGAAGCTGCCAGTGTCATGAAATTACTGGAACGAAATCAGTCACTTTTGATGCTTAATTGAGAGTACAATTCTCTTGAAAAGCAGCTCACAGAGAGTTAAAAGAAAAATTTGATTCAGCACATTATTAAGTGGTATTAACAGATAATTAATAGGTAACCATACATTACTGTTCATGCAAGGTTGCAAGTTGATTTATCAGGTATACTCACAGAGACTGCAGGCTGCGCAAGTTCTGGAGTGCTTCAGTAGGAACCTGGCGTAGCTGGTTATTCTGCAGCATCCTACATTTTGAGTAGCACAAAACCCAAAATCAACACAGTAAAGACAATTTCTTTCTATTGCAAATCTTCTTCCAAGCTTACCTCTTTTGTAGTAGTTCTACTTTCAGATTACAAACAAAGGAAACTACACAAATACTCCAGTTCCCTGACCCTGTCAAAAGCTCACTCTCTTCAAAGCAAACAAATACCTGTAGCACATTAGCTTTGTTAACAGCTAGATAACAGCTTTGAGCAGAATTTTCAAAGCAACCGAGAAAGTTAAAAGAATAAATCCGATTTTCTTTCAATAGGGCTTAAGCTCCTAATTGCCTCCAGTGACTCTGAAATTTTCATTTTCATGTACCAATTTTGTTTTCCTTCTGAAGTGATTCTATTCTGATAAAGCTGTGAAGGACTGACTCTTGAAATTCTTACTCAGGAAAATGCTACTATGGCAAATGTAACTTTTAACTGTATGAGGAATTTATGATTTGGTGTGAAGAAAATTTGATCTCTATAAAAACTGCTTTATTTTTTTCAATGAAATAGATTTTCTCAAACTGAAGGTTGCTAGCAATGACCTGACAAATCTGTTTTCTGAAATATCACATCGTTTAGCTTGCAAAGATAGAAAAATCACTTTTCATTCCTAAATAATCTTTTTCTCCCTTTGAATATGGTTTCATTCACACTACCTAATATCCTTGTTTGGACCAACTCCTACACATATAAAAGAATTCTATGTGGATAAATCTGAAGCAGTACATGCTGCCTTCAAAATGAGGCATACTCAATGGGAGACTAGAAAAGAAATAATTTTTGGCAGACCTAAAGCTTCTTGGGCCAACGAGAGCTAGAGCTCACCAACTGAAAAGAAGATGGAATAAGAATCTCTTCATACTTCTTTTCCAGTTGTGTATTTTTTCAGTAGAGCTTTGTATACTCTTACAGTAGCATCAGGCTTGGCTTGACATTGCCTAGGAGGTTGGTGTTCTTGCTAATAATACAATTCCTGTGAATTTTACATAGGCAAAGATCCCCTCTAGTGTAATCCCCACTGTGAGATGTGGCCTGCTAATAATTTTAGTAACTGTATGGCTGACTTATTACTCCAAATAATACAGGGTTTTGTAATATTTTTTATAATTTATCCAACAGTCATTACATTGTAGAGAGCAAGATATGAAATACGGACTGCATTGTAAATTACATTGTGTTCTACAATAATGTTTTTTACCCCCCCCCGGCTCTCAAGAAAAGGAAAAGGCAATTTAAACCCAGTTTTGTGTGATCATGAAAAGTTCACTTGAAATCAGAACTTTGAGACAATTGAAGAAACTATTAACTGAACCAATTTTTACCTTTGATATTGTACAGAGACATCTACTTGATGAGCAAGTTGTTTTTAGAATGCCATTAATGTTTTCCAACCTTTGTTTAGGATATTTTCTATATGAAAAAACAAAGATTTAATGATGCTCATATGTATCTTCACTTCAATTGAATTGTTCAAAGTGAGCTGATCGAAATATGTAATTTACTTGATCAAAACTTCACTGGCTAATTAGTTCCCTGGAGCATTTAGGAAATCAGAAATATATCAAACAACACACAGTTTACTTACAGCACTTTAAGACTGAAAAGGCCAGCAAATGCTCCCTTAGGAATGTATGTCAAGCCATTTCCTGCAAGACGTCTGCAAAGTTTGAAAAAGGAAAAGAAAAAGAGTGAATACTTTTTTTTCTCTTCATGTGGAATTAATTTGGTTGTTAAAAAGTGCAACAAAGCTATGTTTGAGTAACCGATGCCAGAGACAGTAGTTTAAGAACCTAGTTTTGTCATTAATACACTTTTTAAAGAAAAAAAAAAAGGGAATTCTTTAATTGCACAGTTGATCCACTGACAGATAGACTGCAGAGAAAAAGAACAATTTCATGGCAAATTGTCCTTACAGTTTAGAATGCACATTGAATGAATTCTTCATATTGTTTTTAGGGGTTAGAGCAATCCCAGCAACTAAAATACAGACCTACTGACAACAATTAGCATCATAGGATTTACAGACATGCACTTTGTGTAATTGTGCATGTATGATGTCCAACCACATTTAACTCATCTGCACTAATATAAAAATAGATCCATATAGTAATGACCACAGTTCATTTTAAAATAACTACACATAAAACTGCTGTACCAGTGGAATAATAGTTTTCCTGTGAGCAGTTGTGTAATAAGCTGGCAAAAAGTATTTGCTGAAATTTGTAGGGCTTTTTTCCCTACTTCTATTGCATCTTCCTCTCAGAATGCCTGAAAGTATTTTACAGACCTAGTTAAGTACAACAAATACCTCTGTCTGTAAAGCGTGTTACTCTTAAAAAAAAAAAAAAGGCTGCATTCTGTAAGGTTTTTGTTCAGGAAAGGGATAATCTATTTGATACAAAATAATGGCATTTCCATGTTCTGGCCCTCAGGAAAGAACACAGGATTAGTTCCAGGAAATGCCTTAGGTACCAAGCTGCCAGAGAGGAACCTACAGGACTGAAGCAGAATCATAGAATCAACCAGGTTGGAAAAGATCTCTGAGATCATCAAGTCCAACCCTCGATCCAACATCGCCGCGGTTACTAGACCATGGCACTAAGTGCCACATCCAGTCTCATCTTAAAAACCTCCAGGGACGGAGAATCCACCACTTCCCTGGGCAGCCCATTCCAATGCCTGATTACCCTCTCTGTAAAGAATTTCTTCCTAATATCCAACCTAAACCTCCCCTGGCAGAGCTTAAGACCATGCCCTCTTGTCTTACTGACAGTTGCCTGCTCTGAATATTTTTCAATTTGGAAAGACCTTTCACTAATTTTGCAGACAGTGATTAATTCTATCTTATATGATATTTCTCTGCTAATGCAGCAGCAGATCATGCTCATCATGTACAGCCCTACATATTTCAGTAGAGGATTACATAAAGTATATCACAAATGCATGTATGTCCTTGTAGTTCTCTCGCGAAGCAAACTGACATTGTCAGAAAAGGTAGACACCTGGCAACAATTATTTTAGATGTAGTGATGTTGTCTGACCTTCATTTACCATAGTAAATGCTTTCTCGTGATGGCTATTTCATGATTTACTGTGGAAGAAGTTCTGGAAAAGCACCTATCTCTTCCCAAGATGTTTCTCAAAACCAGTTCTGAACACTGGCACAATAGTAGCATCTTTCCAGCCCACTGGAATTCCCTAGCATTGTAGTATTCTGTAAAAATCAGGAAAAATTATTCATTTGCATAATTGTCTAATTCTTTCAATATTCTTGGATGAAATCTAGCACATCAGTTCTTTAAGGCATGCTGCAAAGCTCATTAAGTTCAGGTTATTTGTTCCTGATAATTTTTAATGTCTTCCTTGTAGCATTTTCTTACTGTGTTTCTATTCTCAGCTTTGGCATAGGGGAAAATTAATCCCTTTGTTGACACTACACTATATATCAAGTATCTACCAGCGTCCACTTTTCTCCACCTCAGGGATTTTGTTTTCTATTATCCTAAATTATTTGAGGGAAGCTTCCCAACATTTTTCTGAACTTTGGATATACTTTGGGTAGTAATTTTAGTCTGAATGGGTAAATATAATTTCTCTGAACAAATGAGAATGGACATAATATCTGTCTCCATAGCTGAGTATTTAGTTAATGATTTCAGAGAGCAGGAATGAAATAGTTTGTTTATAGCATTTATGTAACCAAATGTCTGGCTTTTATTATTTGAACAACTTTGAATTCCCATTTTTGAAAGTTAATTCTTTTATTTCAAGTATTTCTGACATTATTTTACAAATACCTTGCTATTTTAAAAATATCTCATTACATACATTCAGGCTTACATGTATCAGATCTCTTTAATGAAAAAGTAATCCAAAAGGATCACATTTTCTGGGCTATATTATTTTAGATTTAGATTTTACTTGCAGTGCTTTGAATAATCTTGCAAATTAATGGAGGCTGGAAAAGTTTACAGAGAAGTGCCATGTCTCCTTCAGCATCTGCCACAGCCGGAGTCAAGATACTAGGATACCTTTAGCTTAGGCATTGGTTATGTTTTTATACTACTGCATGCTTCTTCATAAGAGATGTAAGAAACCCACAGAAAGCTCCAAAAATTATCAGAAACTTTTTTTTGTTTTCCTTTCGTTGTCTGAAAAGAAAAACTTCATCAGACTGAAGCAAATAAATATGAGGTTGTAACTGAGAACAGTCAACTATTTCCTTTATATTTCTAATACAATAATTTTTCTTTGCCAACTAAAACCAGCTTTACGTGTCGATGTTTTCTGCATCATGATGAGCCTTTCCTGGCACCAAACATTTTCTCATTACCTGATGGGAAGGAATGTGAAATTGAAACACTAAAAAGTCTTCTCTGTACAGATAAAAACCCGTGGCCTTTAACAAAGAAAGCACCTTTCCACTGACTGTGGAAAGAACCTGTGGCAAATCTAACCCAGCTACTTCTCACTGTCCGCAGCAGACAGTGCTAGTACAATACAGGTAGTGGCTGCTTTTCTTCTTTGCCTAAGTAAAATCTAGTCCAGCAAATGCTGAACAAGCATTTGTGGAGCGTATTTCAAAATCTAGTAGTACCAAACCTATAGCCAGGACATGAAAGGAAGGTAACTGTCTCCTTGAGAAAAAGCATATGTTTACACTGATTAATATTCATGCCGTGTTCTAACAGGATTAGCACAATGGAATTTTCTGGATCAACTCTTTCAAGGTGCTGAAATGCAGGAGAATAGATGACACTCTGGATAGTGATACGGGTCAACATATGACGGGAATAAACAGTGTGGAAGGAGTCAAGCTCCACTATTCGGAAGAGAAAATAAAGTGAAATCTCTTGTAATTCTATTTCAGAACAGATACAGTTAAGTAGAAATTCATTACACTCAAATTTCTGATAAATATTTTGGATTCTTATTATTATCCCAGTAAATTATAATATGAATACCTAACTGACTCAATGTTTCTAGACTAGTGCCAGTGCATGTTCTTTAATACAGATTAGGTTATATATCATTGCATCACTTGTGTTGCATTATATTTAATCAGTTCTCGCATAGTGCAATATCCTATATAGAATGTAAAGATGAGTGCAATATGAAATCATTCTTCAACTATGCAAAGATACAGAGGGATTTCTACAAAAATAATTCTATGAATGGCTATCCTGCCTTGATGTCTCTTTGACTCTGCATTTTACTTCTGTTCACTAACTGGTTTGCTGATTTTATTTAAGGAATGAGAGCAAGGCCTGCACATGCTAAGAGAATAATATCATGAATATGTTTATATATATATGTATAAAAATTTATATTTATGAGTAGATTAACATCAACAGTCACAATTCAGTCAGTTTTATATCTGCCTGTTTTCTTGAAAAACAGAGGTTCTATTTATAATTTGCTACATTGTATACTACAGCTAAAAAACTCTCCAGACAGAAAACTGAACAGGAATCACACAGAAGAACCTAAAAATTGTTGAAAAAAAAATAATCTTTGCTTTTCTGAATAGGAATTGGAACTACAGAAGGCCTGAGACAGTGAAAAACCGCAACAGACGGGACAGTTCTGCTGCTATGTGGTACCTTCCTGAATTTGGTGCTAAAACACTAGCATGTGATGCAGAAAATTCCATTAAAATTCATGTAATCATGACTGTGTCTTTTTTATCTTGTGTACAGATAAGAAACTCTCTTTTGTAATTTGAAACTTCTTTCTTAAAAGTCTGATCTGCCTCTCCAAATGCCATAATAGTTCTGAATAACTGATAAAGATCCGTGGTGAAATACCAGTCTCATTGATGCCTGTGGAAAAATTCGTGCTGACACAAGTAGAAATAGGACTCTCATCTGCATCCTACCACAGTATCATACTTGCCAGCACTTGTCTCTGAGGAGCTGCACCAACAGCACTACTACCAATCCTAAAACTATTATCCCAATTTCTAAGGAAGGAAATGGCTGCTTGGGGAGGAACACGGAAGTATAACAAGAAAACATAAATTTCCAAATCTTTTTCTAAAACAACTTGTTCTGATATAAAAAACTGTCTTTGTTCACGGAAGAATTACCAGTCTTGAATCTTGCTTCAATTTTTTTTACTGACAAACTATATCAAAGATACATAAACACACAACAAATACATATTTAGTCCTCCTATATAAAAGTATAGCCACTATATAATTTATATATTTCTATGACCATAATTTTCTTCGGCTTGCATATACATCAATAAACAGGTAACATGAAACGTTCCTTCTTCTTACATTTAAAAAAGCTCTGACAAAATGGACATTCGTCCAGCACTTACTGAGTGTCAACTAAAATTCTGAGATGAGTTTAATTTTATATTTATTAATGACTATTCTCAGACCAATGCAATAGGAATGCATAAATTAATTGGTGATTAATTACAGTGTTAATAACTAATGTGTGACATCAACATATATTTCAACTTTTTTTTTAAGAATTACTATGTTAGACTTGGAATTGAAATGTTAGTCTGTATGTCAATTATCTTTTTATATTTCAATCTGTTGTGTTAATTAAAACTAATTATAGCAATATAAAAAGAAATGTAGGTCAAATGATATATTAAAAAATCTGATGCTCAGAGAGATCAAAGAAGAAAATGTAAAGA